AACAACACTTACTCTGCATCAAGCCTTGCTAAGGGATTTGTGTGCATCAGTTTTCATCCTCATAACAGCCCTGTGAGGTACACTTTATAGCCCATTAGACAGGCGGAAACAGGTTCTGAGAAGTGAAGTGACTTGCCCAGGTTCACATAGAAAGAGTTGAAACTATAACTTTCAACTCAGATATTCTAACTCCAAACCCAGCTGTGGTTTTTTTTTTTTTCTTTTTTCTGTAGCAGAACAGAAGTCTTTTGGGGGTGGGGTGAGGTGGGACAAGATGGTGGCAATGGACAGGGGCACTGTTCCAGGAACAGGCCGAAGAGTAGCTCTCTGGGGAGGTACAGGGCCTCTAAGGGTGGAAAGGAAAGTGTAAAATGAAGGAGTAAGCCAAACAAATGGGCTGTGCATCGGGGCTGTAAAGTCTTTGGGGACTCTGATCCCTGTTGGCAACAGAGGAATTCCCTGCAACCACACTGTCTTTATCTAGCTGTTGCCTAGCTTTTTTGCAAGACCTCCTTTTGGCGAAAAAGAACCTGACAAAGCCTATAAACTCAAAACTGTTTGGAATGACCCTCACGCCACCCTTTACAAGCCCGTTCCTGCTGAGCTGTAGCAGAGTCCGGCCTGCAGGGGGCGCTGAGGGCTCACTCACAAAACACTCGGTGGCACTCAAGGCATCACCCTAAAACTCCCAGCCGGTCAGTTTTCATATTTTATTTTTTAAGAGGCGTGAGCTTTTTCAAATTTGAAAGTTTCTGTCCTCGGAATTCAATCGAGGAAACAATTACAAGTATTACCCAACACAAGTACTCTCCACTTTCGCTCTAAAGATTAGAGCTAATTTTTACAAATGGGATCGTAAAAACTAGGAAAAAACCAAAATCATCTTGGGTCATAAAGCTAAAAACTTTACACCTGAGTTTCCTGATTGCCGGGCAGTACTCCTTCGTTCCATTTTACCCAGGAGACAGTTGGCTTCAACTCCGAGGGTCTGTGGAGACTGGCCCCTAACGCACAGAACTTCAGGAGACAATTCCAAGTGTGGTTTTAAAGCTTGACAGTTCCAGACCTGCCAGCAAGGTGAGGAAGTACCTCCTTCGGCACCTTGCACAAAGCTTGCTTAATGAATGAATTTGTGAACAAACCATGGAGGGTGGGTCTCTTTTGACTTTTTCAAACCACATGAGATTGGGTTTCTTTCTTAAAATATGCCCCAGGGCTGGAATTGTGTTCTGAGATGGGGGTGGGAGTGAGGAGAAACAAGAACAAGATGAAGAATTCAAAAGATGACATCTGGACTAGATAAATCACGGCCCCAGGAAGGGTCAAGATACAGGTCATTACAGTAAAATGACCCCAGAATATGGGATTTGAAAATTAATCGATGAAGAATGAAAACAGAACAGGTGAGGAATCCCCTTAAGGTCATAATCTGAGAGAAGATCTGAAACTAAAGAAACCTCAGAAACATTTTAAGCCAAAACTAGATGTATCTTCATGACTAGAATGTGATTGAGGAATAAAAAAGCTTTGGCCAATCAGTGACCTGAAGACAGCTCATTCAGTACAGTATGGCAACAGGAGGAGATCTTTGCTGAACCCAAAATACAAGATGATGATGAGAGGGAAACAAAAGGCATGGAAGAGGGAGCAGTGTGTCTAGCCTGTGTCACCGGGCCATGCTTCACTGGGCTGGGAGTTTCACTGCTGGATTTTCAGAGCCCAGCACAGTACCTGGTATACACTTATCAGTTGCCATATCTGACTCATAGCAAGCTCATGTGTGTCACTGAAGAACTGTGCTCCATATGGTTTTCAATGGCTGACTTTTTGGAAGTGGATTGTCAGGTCTTTCTTCTAAGGCACCTCTAAGTGGGCTCAAACTACAAATCTTTCAGTTAGCAACCAAGCAGGTTAACCGTTTGCACCACTCAAGGACTCCCAGCATACACTAGATGCTCAATAAATATTTACTGAATGAAAGAAGGAGGGAAGGAGACTGAGCCCTAACCAGCAGGTTTGCCCCGCAGTTCCATGATTCACCTTTTCACTGGTTCCTTTTGCTCAGATTCCAGTTTTCCTAGTCACCTTCGGATGATAACTTGGCTTTTCATGGAGCCTCTCCCACAAGAAGGGATGTGCTGGTCAATCAAGTATAAGCCATCTGACAGCTGTTTCTTGCTCTCAATTAATACATTGGAATTTTGCTTTAAGTATCAGTTTCTTGTACCAGCCTGCCTCTTACATGTTCATTTCCATCTCTTATTAGTGGCACAGTGGTGTTTCTACTTTGGAGTCATTCCTGCCTGGGTTGGAAACCTTGCTCAGAGTGAGTTATCTGACCTTGGTCAACATACTTCTTGAGCCTCAGTATCCACATCTGTCAAATGGGAGCATGTCAACCTCAGGAAGTTGTGAGAGTTACATGAGACAACAGATGTATCCCGGACCAATATTAGTGTCCCTGCCTCTTCCAGTCTTTCCTTCCTTGGAGACTGGGTCACAAAAGAGCACACACTTTAGAATATCAGTCTCTCTGCTTTTTCTTCTCACAAAATTGCTAACTTTGTAAGTAAACCCATGGGGATAATTTGGTCACTTCCTTGAAGATTCTACAGAGGAGAGTAATTAAAAAATTCATCACTTCAATATTTACTGAGGATCCACTTCATGCTAGTACGTTATATAGAGATAATTAGACAGTTTCTGGCTTAAAGGAGCTCTCTGATAGCCTGATACTATGTAGAAGATACTATGTGACTCTGGACAAACAATTTTTCCTTTTTGAGCTTGTTCCCCCACTTTGTAAAAGTGTTTGATAACTTTTCCATTGTTAGTTGGAGGAGAGGGTTAAGACATAGACATGATAACAAGGCTGTATCCATTCTAGAAACCAGTGAAGTAAAAAGGCAGAAACAATGTGGTGTAGGAGTTAAGGAGTAGAAGAGATTAGTTTCAGCTGGTTTAAAGAAGCAACATCTTCTGGAGGAAGTGGTAGTTGGAAGCCTTCATGCAGGCCACAAACACAAAATGAAGGCATTGAATTCTGGGTAGGATTTCAGTAGGCAGAGATTTGCAAAGAGAACTATTAGAAGAAAAGCTTGAAGGTCAAACAAGGAACATGGGTGAGGCAAGTAAATGGAAAGGTAAATTGAGGCAGGTCTTGAATGGCAGTCTAGGGGGTTGACATTTACTCTATAGCTGATGAAAAACCACTAAAGCTTTTTCATCTGGACATTGACATAACAAAGTAGACTTTTTTTCAATGAAAATTGAATCCAACAAAGTTGTTAAGAGGGGGAATTCAATTCAAAGAAAGATTCAGCTACCAAGGACATACTATTGGCAGGACATTGTGCTAGTGGGCATAGGGCAGAAGACAAAGATGTCAAAATATGGACCCTGCCCTTAATGAACTTATAATCAGAAGGGTCAGATGACAGATGTACACAAAAAAATTACAATGCAAAGTAGAGTGTGAATAAAGTACAGACTCACCCCAAGTGCCTTCGGAACTCAAGAGAGGATGAAAATAATTTCCTTCTCCGAAAAGGCTGGAGACAGGACATAAGTCAGATGCTCATCTTTGGAACCAGAATCCTAGACTCGGAGTATCGGAAAGGACATTAGAAGTCATACAGTCCACCCCTACTCCAGGATCCATATCGAGAGTAAACAATGACTTTAAAATTGAAACAAAAAGAGTGACTCAAGAAAATCTATGAAGGCTCTGTGTGAAGACAACAGGAGAGAACAGCTTTGAGGTTCTTAGATGTTGACAGCATGACTTCCTTGCAAAGGGAGAGCTGAAGGCCAGGAATTAGGTGAGATCAGGGAGGCAGAGTGTGCCTGGAGAGAAGAGAGACGAAAACAGAAACTTGGGAAACACCCACGTTTCAGGGGTGGGAGGAGAAAGCGAAGTCAGGAGCCAGAGAGTGAGATGAGACCCAGCACAACACTTTGTCGCAAAGTTTCAAGAAGGTGGCTGGCAGGGATAGAAGACAGGACCTGAAGTCCCAAGGGAGCAAAGGGGAAACTGCCCCAAGTGGGGATTGATGTTAGACATAGGTTGCCAATGACATTTCAAAGAATGAAGGCTTTTTCCAGACACTCAACAAAGACGTGGTTTCCCTATGTCTGGTACTTTTGAAGGTGGTGTCCCCCTGGAGGCTTGGGGAATAGGGGTGTGGCTTCTCACCTCCAAAGATCTGATGTTCAGCTCTATAATTAGCACCAATGGATAAAGTGGGCTAAACCTCTCCTAACCAGTCCCTCCAGGAACTAAAAAGTTGGAGGACTCACTTGGGAGGGATTTCACATCTGGCTCTCCGGTCCACCCCGGTTAAGTCCCGTTTCATCATGCAGTCCTAATGACTGTTCCAGCCGTCACTCTCGTCTGGTATTGCCTGTGCTCTGACTAAACCCGCTTGCAAAAGTTTGCAGCATTCGTCTGGGCCAGACTACAGCTCCCAGAGTTCCCGGACGCTCCCCGGTGCCGATTGGCCGAGTAGTCAGGTCCAGAGGGCGGTCTCTCCTCCGCCTCCCCGGGAAACAAGCATCTGATTGGCTGTGGCGCGGAGGTTTTGTGTCCCGCCCTCCCCTGGGGACCGCAGCGGGCAGAGCTGCGCTGCTAGTGTCAGAGCGGAGCAAGCACTGGCAGTTCCGCGGCGGTGATGCTGAGGAGCGCTGGGTTCACCAGCAACCTTGGCCACTGCGGACTTTAGAGGCGCTCCGGGCCGTGAAAATCTCCGCGCCGCGGCCAATCGTAGGAGCCCGAAGCCATTCACCATTCCAGAAGCCGGACTGGGGGACACAGACCAGCGCAGCAGCGGCAGCTCTCGGATTCTGGGCTTTCGGAGCGTTCTGGAACCCCGAGAGGTACCTCGGGGTTCTAGAACTTCCCGTGCTGCCCCAGGTCTCGGCTTCCTGCGTGCTTCTCTCCAAATCCCCGCTCTGGTGCACAGGTCCTCGGCGAGCTGCGGCTCGGTTTTGGCGCACACACCATGATCGTTGCGGACTCAGAGTGCCGCGCGGAGCTACAGGGCTACCTGTCGTTCCCCCGGGGCGGCGGCGGCGCTGGGGCCGGAGAGGTAAGCAGAGGCCGAGCGACGCCACTTTTCTCTTGAAGCCTGAGCCGTGTCTGAACCTCGGGCAGTCCCGAGATAAGTCTGTGCACCCCCGGGCCTCGGGGGAGGGGAGTGAAGAGCGTAACCCAGGAGTAGGGTTGCATCAACTGGCAGCCTCGGCCCTCGTCCCCCTTTCCCCCTCCCCCGGAGTTGTGCAGCCCTCCCTTGGCTCCCTCGGACCCCTGGCCAATGAAAAGGGAGCCTTCTCGTGGTTTTCTAGTGTTAGGTCTCTCTTTGAGAGCGTCTTCAAGTCCAGGCAAATCCCGGCCGGAGCGGCCCTACCACTCCTCCTCCCCGCCCCCTTCCGCAGAGTCCCTTCCTCTTGGCGGGGGCAGGCGGGCAGAGGACTCTTTTTAGGATACCTTCCCGCTCCGATTCCCCAGTGCAGACCGTGGGACACCTGGGACTGGCCCGCAAAGGGCGAGTTGGCCCCCCTCCCCGCACCACTGCTTTTCTGCACCTCTCCCCCCGCCCCCCCATTCGGAGGAGGGGCGGTCGGCCTTAGAGAGGGGGCGGGGCCTGTGGGCTCTCTGGGGGCTTGGCTGGCTGCCTGTTTCCCGGGCCCGCAGCCAAAAAGCTTCAAGGAGAGGGGCTTGAGGGGGTGGGGGGACACACCCAGGCTGTGGCGCCCCAAGTTTAGCGCAGATTAGGCTGCGCCCTTCTAAGTGGTCTGATGGCCCAGAAGTTTGTTTGGAAAGGATCTCCTTCCCCACTAGGCAGTGCCCGAAGGAGCATAGCAATGAGGCCAGGAATAAAGTTGGGCCTTATTTAACGAACAAATTAGTCCTCTTATTCCACGACTAGCGATAAAGGACCTACTGGCTGTCAGGCACCCGAGCCCTGGTGGCGCAGTAATTAAAGCGCTCGTCTGCGGACCGAAAGGTCGGATGTTCGAACCCATTAGCCCCTCTGTGGGAGAAAGATGTGGTAGTCTGCTTCCATAAATATTTACACCCTTGGAAACCCTATACGAAAAAAACCAAACTCACTGCCATTGAGTCAATTCTGACTCACAGCGACCCCCTTTGGGTTTCCAAGGCGGTAAATCTTTATGGAAGTAGACCCCCCAGTCTTCTTTCCGCGGTGGAAACCCCATAGGGGTTCCTATAGTTCTACTCTGTCCTATAGATTCGCTGAGTTGAAATTGACCCAATGGAAGCGAGTTTGGTTTATTTTTGGTTTAGACGCCAGGCCTGCTTTTGCTCTGAATCCTTGAAACTAAACCACCAAAATACAAGTTGTACTACAGCCCCGTTTTACAGGATGAGAAAATTGAGGCCTAGGAGGGCGTTAGGGAGAGATTTCCTTCTCTAAGTCACCCAGGGAGCTCATTCTTTGGCCTGGGTGTACCTAGGATTTCAGAGTGTGCTTGGCACTTCAGTGAGTTTTGCTTGTTTATTTTGTTTCCACGCAGCTTAGAGCAGGTGTATTGGGGTTGGGAGAGAAGTGCTAGTCCTGAGCTGTGTGAGTAGGAAAATTTCTGCCCTTCTCTGAGCAACATGGTTTCTGAGGCTCCTAGCTTTAGCAGAAGATGGTTTGTGTCCCAGGTTTCTGTTACCTTGATTTTAACCCTCTTTGGTGGTGCAGTGGTTAAGAGCTCAGCTGCTAATCCTAGGGACTGTTCTACTCTGCCCTGTAGGGTCACTGAATCAGACAGAATTGACTCGCGGGCAGTGACAGTGGGTTTGGTCTGGAATCTTTATGGTGCCACATCTTTTTCCTGCAGATGGCTAGTGGGGTAGAATCGGAGACCTTAAAGTTAGCCAAATGCTTAAGCATTACCCTATGGGTCGGTTCTGCTTTGCCCTATAGAGTTGCTATGAGTCAGAATCAACTCCATGGTGACGGGTTTGATTTTTCTATTTGGACCATGATTTAGGAACTCCATGGGGATTAATGATTCTCACTCTTTTTTTTTTTGTAATTTTTATTGTGATTTGGGTGAAAGTTTACAGAGCAAATTCATTTTCCATACAACAGTTCACGCACATTTTGTTTCATGACGTTGACTGCAATTCCCCACAACGTAACATCTTTCTTCCCACTTCCTCCCTGTTGTTACCTCTTCCCTCTGTCCTTCTTTTCTGTGTACTCCTGGCTCCTAAGCTATCTCCTGTGCAAATACTACCCTTCTGTTCTCCCACAATTGATCGTTCAATGAGTGTATCTACCTGAGGTAAATGTTCACCCTATGTTGTTTGTTGTTATATGCCATCAAGTTGGACCCAACTCATAGCGACCCCTCCTTGAGTTTCCAAGGCAGTATCGTTGTGGAAGTAGATTGCCCACCCTATATGCCTGTCAGTTGTTTGGCTGGAAGCCACAGGAGTGAGTTCGATTCCAGACCTGAAGAGTTACTAGTGGCCATAGTCTCAGGGGTCTCACCAGGCTTTATCATAACAGTAAACCTGGTCTTTTTTATGATTTGGAGTTGTGTTCCACATTGTTCTCCCACTCTATCCAGGATCTCCTGCACTGATCCCTTTCTGAGTGGTTGGCAGTGGTAGCTGGGCACCATCTAGTTCTTCTGGTTTCATGGTCATACAGGCTGAGGTTTGCATGGTCCACTATTCCCTTGGACTAACTGTTTCCATGCATCTTTGTTTTTTTTTCATTCTCCTTTGCTCTGAATGAGGAAAGACCAACTGTTGTATCTAGATGGCCGCTTGCAAGCTTTTAAGACCCCAATCGCTACTTACCAAAGTAGGATGTAGAGCAATGTTTTCATGTAGTATGGTATGCCAGTTGCGCTTGATGTCCCCTGTGACCATGGTCCTGAGCCTACAGGTCCAACTACTCACTCCCTCAGGGTAGTTGGCTATGGCTAAGAAGTTACCATAACTTTGCCCCTTGTTAGCTCTATTATAAATATATGGACATTCCTACAGCACATACAAATACATATGTAGAAATATTGTCTGCCAACCTTAATAAACCCTACTCTTGCTCCTTATCAGCTATGTGACTTTGACCAAGTCATTTTGCTCTCTTGAATCTGTTTCTTTCTTTGTAAAAATTGAAAATAATGTTATTACTGAGAGTACACAGATGCTGGAGCCAGAGAGAGCTGGCTTCATGTCCCAGCCCTCCCACTTACTTGCTGTGTGATCTTGGCCAAATAATCACCTTCTCTGATCCACAACTTCTTCACACGGACATTCAATAGTATCCGTGAGTGATGATTGGGAGAATTAACTGAGAATACCAGTGAAGACAGAAGTGCAGTGCCTGAAACATAGTGACTCTGTCAGACATGCTAATTAATGTGAGAATGTAGCCATGACATTTCCCTTTCCTCAATGCCTCATAATAAGCCTGAGCTTACCCTCCTCAGAGTCATGCATCTCTCTCTGGGACAGTGCCTGGAAAGTGGCCTGGGGAGAAAGAAGTGCCTCAGGTGGTTGGGGCAGGCTGTGAGGGAGTGGCCTTTAGATGGAAACCACATGTAAGCAGTGGGGAAAGTTGATGGTGTTTGGTAAGAAAAGAGGACCTTGGGAATGAGGTGTGTGCTTAAGCAGAATCCGTAGAAGATAGCAGGGTGCTGTTGATCTTACAGAGCCTGGTTCTCAAGGCCCTATTAAAGATGTGCAGCCCCCTCAACTTCTCATCACTTCACCACACTCTTTCAGGGGTCAAGGTCTTAACATGTGCGTATCTCCAGAAAGTTCCAACGGCTTCACTCTAGTGTTGGTAATATGTTTTCAGAGCCTTACTGGGTTATTGAATTACTTCCTCAAACCAAGGTTCAGTCTAGTTTAATCATGGCTGATGAAGCGACATCAGAAGGAACCTTAATTTTTTAAATGTGGGTGAACCAGAACACTAACCAGAACCAGAAAATTACGGCTGAAGACTTGCAAAACTTCTCTCACTCTTAGAAAACAAGGGCAGTGTTCACGTTGTATAGCAACCTAATCTCTTAAACAACTGAGTCTGAAACAATGGTGCCCAGCTCAAAGGTGGCAGCCCACCACACTGCTTTGAATGTGTGTTGCTCTCCACAGCCCTAGCAGTAATCCAGTGTCACACATTAGGGCAGTGCCTAAGGCATTTCACTGCTAGCCAGAAGGTTGGTGGTTAAACAGCCACTTTGCAGAAGGAAGACCAGACAGTCTACTTCCGTAAAGATTTACCCCCTCGGGTCTTTGTGAGTCGGAATCAACTCAATGGCAGTGGGTTTTGTTTTATGCCTATTCCAAGTCTCCCATTCCAAGACTTGGGCCCATAATTTTTCCCATTCTGTTTAACATTCCAGATCACCCAAATTTTAAAAATTGGGTCTGTTCTGGTTTTACTTCACCAGCCATGACTGAACTAGTTTGGACTGGTTCAAAGCCCTACTTGAACATCACTTCCTTGGGGAATTTTTTCCTCCCTATCAGATAAGTTCCTTTTGCATACACACTTCCAGTCCCCCTTCCCCTGCCTAGGAGCTTTTATCCCAGTTGTAGTGAAACGGTTGTGTAATTAGGCATTTCTTGTCTGTCTCCCTTGCTCCACTAGAAACACCCAGAGGCAGGGACCCCACCCTGCAGGTCTCATCACCTGCCCAGCACTGTTCTTAGCACCTAATAGGTGCTCATAACTATTTGCCCCATGATGACTTAGCCGACCCTTGTGAACTGTGCGGGCTTTGAAGTCAGATTTGAGCTTCTGCTTATCTGGAATAGGACCTTTCAGAGCCTCAGTGACCTATCTTTAAAGAAGGGATAACAAGACATATTTCCCAGGTTGTGAGGAGCCAGCAAGACTGATGTGTAAAGCGCTTAGTGACCAGCTCTGGTGGCGTACAAGTGTATAACACTCCCCCCTTCTATCCAAGACTGGATATATGGGCTTCATGGCTGTGTCTTCTTCTCAGGTATAAGTCCAGGCAAGTATGTGCTTAGGTGACCAGAGCAGCCAGACTGTCATGGGGCTTTTCCCCTCCCCAGCCAGCAGAGTGACCTAGCAGGTGCCTGTAA